TAAGAAATTGCGGTCCAAAATTGAAAGGAAAAGAGGAAAACTGGCCAAGAATTTGCCTAACTTCACCGCTCAAGTCTCAACTAGTGCTCGAGCGGTGAATGAGCGGCAATGACACTGCTTGAGCGATAGTCGAGCACCAGGAGAACGAAAAGGTCCCTGCATGAAATAACACCACTGGCGCTCATGTGGCATGCCATCAATAAGCAACTGGTGGACTGGGTTGAGACGCTTCGTGAAGTCTGATGATTTTTGGGCGCGTCTCTTCACTCACAACATCTCTTCTTTTATAAGTAAGACTCTTGGGACGTTCTTTATTTCATTCCAATCATATTCAATCATAACATAACATAAAAAAGCATATGTCATTAGCAGAAATTCTGCACAAATATCTGTTTTTCATTTAATTTGAAAAGAGTACAAAATACGTCTTTTTGGTTTGTTGTAGTGTTTTGGAGTGTTACAAACACAAAAAGGTAGTTATATCATAGGAGTATATTGCCATTATCCGTAGGCACCGTTACATGGCAAAATCGATTGAAGGACAAATAATTCAACTCTTGCCTCAACTTTGCATTCATTTTCTTGGTGTTACTTTGTCTATTTTCGTTGGAACTTCTATTTCTTTGGTGCTTATTATTCAATTTCTTGCTGTTACTCTATCCAATTTTGGTAAGGTTGGTAATTAATTTGTTAAAGAAATCACTCAAATGTATTTTACAAACAAACAATTTTAAGTCAATTTTGTGTATGATTAATATCTTTATATCTATATTTGATTTCTACTCGGTTAAACGGATTTTGTTTCAGTTTAACTTCTTCTACTCCTTCTTGAATCTTTTTTTTTTGGTTTATCTTCTATTTTGCATAAACAAAAATGAATACAGTTAACAATACCAATACTATTTCAAATATGGGAACTTCGAAATGAGTTACTCTTAACTTGGTTCCTACCATTATGATTCCTTCGGTTGCGGTTGCCCTTCCTACTGTTCATACAAACTTCGTTCTACATGGAGAGAAACTGGAGAAGTTTCGTGAGGTTGATTTCAAGAGATGGCATTAGAAAATGTAGTTCTATCTCATAACCCTAAACATGGCGAAATTCTTGAATGAAGATACTCTCGCCATGTAAGAAGGGGAAAATAATAGGGTATCACTGATAGCATTGGATGCTTGGAAACATTCAGACTTCTTGTGCAAGAATTATATACTGAATGGGTTAGACAACACATTATAGTTATATGAAGTCTGCAAATGAACTATGAGAATCCTTGGAGAAGAAATACAAGACTGAAGATGCCGAAACTAAGAAGTTCATTGTGGGAAAGTTCTTAGACTACAAAATGGTATTTTCAAAGATGGTCATCAGTCAGGTACAAGAATTGCAGGATCTTTTCTATGATATTCACTCCGAGAAAATGTCTCTAGGTGGATCTCAAATGGCTGCAATTATCGAGAAACTTCTACCTATGTGGAAGGACTTCAAGAATTATCTCAAACATAAGTGGAAGGAGATGAATATTAAAGAACTCATCATCCGGTTGAGAATTGAAGAAGATAATCGAAAGTCAGACAAACGTGTTGAAAGTCATATACCACAAGCAAAGGCTAATGTGGTGGAATGAAATAACAAGAACAAAAAGATGACGCATTTCGTCGAGTTCTTCGAGCAAAGTAATAAGAATGCAAAGAAGTTTAAAGGCAATTGTTATAATTGTGGAAATATCGGACATCACTCTATCGATTGTTGAAAACCTAAAAGGCAAGCCCAAGCAAATATCATCGAATTTGATGGTGTATCAGATATAAACTTGTTGCCCGTTGTTTCAAAATGAAACGACATTGGAAATCCCATGAAATGGTGGATGGATACGAGTACTGCCCGTCATATTTGTGTCGATAAATGAATGTTCTTCTCATCCTATACTCCAACCAATGGCGAGAAATTGTTCATGGGAAACTCTTTGAGTTCAAAGTGTGAAGGACAAGATAAAGTGATATTGAAGATGAGATCGGGCAAGGAACTTAGCCTTAACAATGTTCTTCATGTGTTGGATATTCGCAAGAACTTAGTGTTGGATTTCTTCTTAAGCAAGAATGGCTTGTAATTAATCTTTGTAAATGAGAAGTTTATACTTACCAAGAATAATATGTATGTAGGCAAATGTTATGTAAAATATGGACTATTAAAGATGAATGCCTTTATTATTGTACCGAATAACTCAAGAAATAAAATATGTTCTTCTACTTGTGTTCTTGGGTTGTCCAATTTATGGCATCATAGATTAGGACATGCAAAATTTAATTATGTACACAAGTTAATGAGTTTAAGTTTACTACCAAATATGTATTTTAGTACAAATGAAAAATACGAGATTTGTGTAGAGGTTAAGTTAGTTAAAGCGTCGTTTCATTCAGTTGAACGAAACAGAACACATTTGGAACTTATTCACACCAATATATGTGATTTAAAATTTGTTCAAACAAAATGTGGTAAAAGAATTTCATCACATTCAAGGATGATTGTACAAGATACTGTTATGTATACCTATTGAAAAACAAAGATGAAGTTTTGGAAGTGTTTAAGCACTATAAAATTAAAGTTGAAAATCAACTTGGAAAATGAATAAAGATAATTCGTAGTGATTGAGGTGGAGAATATGTTGTGCAATTTGAAAAATTTTGTTCAAAATCTGAAATCATTCATCAAACAACGGCACTATACTCACCTCAATCCAATTGTATTGTTGAACGCGAAAACTAAACACTCAAGGAATTGATGAATGGAATGTTAATAAGTTCATGCTTATCTCAAAACTTGTGAGGAATTCTACAAATTACATCCTTAATGAAACAACCACACAAGAGTAAGGTTTAAACATCTTATGAGTTATACAAAGGTCAAAAATCTTCCTACAAATATCTTAAATTATGAGGTGTTTAGAAAAGGTACAAATACATAAACCTGAACAAGTAAAGATTGGACCGAAGACAATAAATTGTGTCTTTATCAGCTATGCATACAACAATAGTGCGTATCGATTTCTAGTTCATAAATAAAAAAATACTTAATGTTCATGTAGGTACTATCATTGAATCAAGGAATGTTGCTTTCTTTGAAAATACCTTTTCTTGTAAAGAGAAAGAAGTAAGCTTACATAAACGAACTTACGATACTGCAAGTGGAAGCCATCAAGAAAATGGAAATCATAAGTAGATGAAGAATCAAGGTCTAGTAAAAGGCAAATGATTCATAAAACCTTTGGTCCAGATTTCCTAACGTACTTATTAGAAAATGATCCAAGGACATTTAACGAAGCAATGTCCACTCTCGAAGCTCATTTTTGGAAATAAGCGATTAATAATGAAATTGGATCCATTATGCATAACCATACTTGAAAATTGGTTGAAATCCATCCAGGGAAAAAATTTTAGGCTGCAAATAGATCTTCAAAAAGAAATTGAATTCTAATGGATCAATAGAAAAGTATAAGTCCAGATTAGT